GTCACTGTGAGCGAAAGGATGGTAGTGTGATCATCTGTCCTGCAGGCACATTTTCAAGAGACTCAGAATTTGAGTGTTTGCTTTCCAGGGAACACAAAGCAGCTGTGGGTCAGTGCCATGTTGTAGGTGGTGCAGGAGCATTCACACAGGCAGGATCCGGTGATTCAGCCATGGTCCATTTCTACCAGGGCAGTGTGGGTGCACACCTAGCACTAGAAGAAGGCTCCATGCCTCTCTGAAATCAGCTGGGACATCCTGATCACCACACCACTGATGGTGATGATCTGGCTAATGACCTCTGCATTCAGGTTTCTCATATTCTTAGTCTTCAACACATTGAATGGTCCTACTTGAATCAGATCTTCTAAGACTCAGTCAGGTTCAATATCAAAGAAGATCTCATTGACAGCATTTTTATAAGTTGGGATAACTTCCTGTGGGTAGCAGATGAACTGTCTGTAGAGATTTCTGTTAAATGACTTCATGTGTTTATAGCCTACATTTAAACATGGATACTCAATAATATTAAAATTCTCACCGGAACCGGTTTGGCTCATGGATAGAGCATCCATCCGCCTGTGGACTGAAGGGTCCTGGGATCCATTCTGGTCAAGGGCATGTACCTTGGTTGCGGGCACATCTCCAGTAGGGGGTGTGCAAGAGGTGGCTGATCGATGTTTCTCTCTCATCGATGTTTCTAACTCTCTATCTCTCTCTCTTCCTCTATGTAAAAAATCAATAAAATATATTTTTTAAAAATTAAAAAATAAAATTCTCAAGCAGTTACATGTACAAGGTTCAACAACATCTATGGAAATGCATTCTTCTTCTTTAGCCAGAGGATCAATAAAAAGATGGAGACATTTCTGAAAATTTTCTTTGCATGTTGACATATTTATATTTGTTCTACAAATCACAAGTTTTGTGGCCTTGCTGGCCCCTACTGAAAACCTACCTGCAGACCCCAGCCAGGTGAGGCCTTTGCCACTAATACCACTGCTTGGGGTTCCCTCTACCGAGAGCTAGGAGTACCATATGTGAGTGGCGAACTAACATCAAATTCAGGGGAAATATGAAAGAATGCATTAGAAGAGAGCTGTACAATAATGTGTCCTGTGTGGCAGGGTTTGCAGGTCAGCTCCAGGCCAGGCCAGCACCAGTGGAGGCTCTCCCAGGGCGGTAGAGTCCTCACCTCTGTGTCCTTGAGATGCGGATTGCCTGACATCCTCGCTTGGAGGGAGGACAGGTGATGCCCCCAAAGCACACAGGGCTCTAGAGTGTACCTGGCAGGATGTGCTCCAAGATGTCCCAAGAGAAGTTTTTTATAGTTTACAATAACATAAAGCATTATAATTAAGCGATAATTTTATCTGAAGATGATATCAATATCTAATGAAAAAATGCAAGAGAATAAACTACAAAGAAAGAGTACCAAAGTTTAAGTTCCAGAATTAATGAGGTCATTCAAAAATATATCAAACTTCAATACCTTCCTATGTACCTACAATCACTAATTAAAAAAAATAATACAATAAAATAATTCATGACAATGTGCACACACACATGCTCACACACCAACAAATATACACACAACTCTGTAAAAGTGTAGGAGTAAATACAATGAAATATGTATGAGGGCTATAAAGATGACTATATAGATATATGCTACGTTCATGGATGGGAATATTCAATATTTTAAAAATTATTAATTCTCTCAAAAATATTCTATAAAATTCATATAAACAGCATTCTTGAGGAGTACTGATGCTATCTGGAAGAAATAAATAGTTGAAAATTAGCCTCTAATTTTTTACAGAAAGAAGAGAAATGTGAAAGCACCTGTTCTATCAATTCAAAATATAAGTTATAAAGTTTCAACTTAAAGAAGAAATTTTAAAGCTTCCCTACCTCCCCTCTGTTGGACATTTATAGTGCTTATGTCAACTGCAGTGCTTTTTAAATCTTTTGTCTCATCTTCCTAATTAGAACATAAATAATTCAAAGGAAGATTTGTTCTTTAGCTTCTTTGTCTCCTTGCAGCAGAACACAGGCTTTGTACAGTGTGTAGGGCTTGCACTAAGGTAGGCATTCGGTGGTTACTTGAATGTGATTAAGAATTTTATCACTAGAATGTTCCCATTGCAATAAACAGTCTGATCACATTTGTGATGTTTGGTCCTGATTTCTCTTTAAGCTTTGCCCCCCCTTTCCTCTTTGGCTCCACTCATGGACAGGCAGATTTAAAAAGTCCATCCTAACTAGAGAGCATTATGCTAAGCAAAATAAGCCTGAGAAAGATAAATATCACATGATCTCACTCATTTGTGGAATATCATGAACAATATAAACTGATGAACAAAAATAGAACCAGAGACATAGAAACATCAAACAGACTATACAACCTATGAGGGAAAGCAGGAGGTGAGGGGGTAAGAGAGCAACCAAAGAACTTGTATGCATGCATATGAGCATAACCAATGGGCACAGACAGCAGGGGTGTGAGGGCTGTGCTGGAGGATGGGGCAGTGGGAAAGAGGTCAATGGGGAGGAGGGGGGAAACTCATGTAAATACTTTAAACAATAAAGAATTAAAAAAAAAAAAAGTCCATCCTCCCTGGCTAGCATGGCTTCATGGTTGAGAATCTACCTGTAAACCAGGAGGTCACAATGGTTTGATTCCCAGTCAAGGCACATGCCCAGGTTGCAGGCTCCATCTTCATAGGGGCAGTGTGCAGGAGGCAGCCAATCAATGATCCTCTCTCACCATTGATGTTTCTATGTCTCTTTTCCTCTCCCTTCTTCTCTAAAATATATATATCTGGCCATCCTGCACCTCCTTCTTTCACACCCATGGGAATTTTAAGCCACACAAATCTCCAGAGCAAGTCAATGGGAACTGTTTCCAGCTCCAACCCCTAACCACTACAAAGGCCCAGACCATTCCCTCTGCTTGGTCCAAGCTAGATTGGACCTGCTGGGGCACTCTGCCCTCTCTAGGAGTTCCTATGTGAGTAAAACATTTTCTCTCAAATTCTCTTTGTGTGGAGTATTATCAGCCTGGATATCTGAATGAGATAATCAAAATACTCATATGAAGGAAAGCAGTATGATTGGAGGGAAAATCAAAATTTTAAGGTTATCTTAAAACATGAAACAAAAAATAAGAAATTGAAAATTTGCAATCATGTATATAATTTAAACTTAGTTTCTAAATACATAGAATAGAGATATTGCTTTAAAATGCATCACTAAGAGCTTACAGGGACAAATATGCAAATGTTACTCCAAAATAGAGTATCATAGTTATTATATGATTGTTTTGATCATAAACTTTATTACAGCAACATTTTGCATATTGAATTGCTCCAGGAGAAAAAGCTACATTTAGTGGTGTCTTCATTTCCCTCTTATTGATACTCACACTACATAAGTGTTGCCTAAGCAACATCCTGAATATTATTCTGTCTTTATGAGACAGCTTCAGGAAAATGAATATATTCAAGTTCTGCATTTTAGCCAAACTATGAGTTAATAAATGAGTAGGTTCGGAATCATGTTCAGCAACCTCCTTTGGATCCATACCTGCCTATTCTCCACATAGATAGAAAGATTCTGGCAACACCTTGAGTTTAAATTTTACTGATCTATTTCCAGTTGAAAAAAATATTTCTCTGCCAATATATTTGATACATTTAATTTTCAAATACTTCTGTTACTAAGAACCCAAATTCCCATGAAAGTGATTCTCTTGCAAAAAGAAAGCAGTACATGCCTGGCTGGTGTGGCTCAATGGTTGAGCATCGATCCATGAACCCAAGAGATCACTCGTTCAATTCCCAGTTGGGACACATGCCTGTAGGGGATGTGCGGATGGCAGCCAATAGATGTTTCACTCTCACATGGATGTTTCTCCCTCTCTATTCTTTCTTCCCTTCCTCTTTCTCTCTCAAATCAATAAAATATTTTAAAAAAATAAAATAAAAATAAATACATTTTATAAAAAGAAGCACTACTAAGATAAAGGTATAGGCTGGTCTCCATTTGAAACATTTCTTTCTTCCATTTCTTGGTTTTTGTACTTCTAGTTCATTTCTAATGCCAAATGTTGAGACTTTTCTTTGGATTTTCTAAATCCATTCATGTTTCATTTGACTAGCCATTTCTCTTTTTGCTTCAGGAGAGAACACCAAACATATGCCGAAAGAAAAAGGATTGGCAAAATAAAGAACATAAACATTCAAATGTCTGTCTCCTTTGTGTAAAGGGTACAGAAGAAATCTGTTTGTTTTATTAATCATTTCATTTTAAATCCAAGAAGCTGTGCGAGACAAATGGAAAATGCCAGCAAGGATGACATGACAAAGAGGCTAATAAACTGCAGGATGCTTATACCTCTGAGAGAAGCTGAGCAGCACAAACTTCCCTCCCTGGAATGGAACAGGTAGCTAAGGTGGAACAGGTCACAGCCAGGCTCAGCACTACACTGACAGCGAAGAAGGAGAAAAAGAATGCCCCTCAAGTAGCAAGTAGTTCCCAAATGCTGCAAATATTAACTGTTTATGAACTACATCGTCATTATAACATAAAGACCATCCAATGTCTCACCATGTATCAGCTAAATGGTAGAAACAACTAATTCTCTCTTCTTTTTTTTATTTTTGTAAAGAAAAAAGCTTTCTGCGTTTTGTGACAGGCACCAAACCAATGTAAACACCTCTTGCCCTAATAATAGAACCAAAGCAATTTAAAATATTTCACCACTAACTTTTTACCTAAGTAAAATTCCCTTGCAAATAAGTAAAGGCTCCCTGTTGTATATATGTGTGTAAAATCTCTGTCCTTTTATTTTTAATATTTCATTTCTCCACTACACTGTGTTGTGCTTAGAATTGGCAGTAATATCGGGGGGTGGGAATCCTTCTAAATGATATCTCTTCAAAATATGATCCATTGCATCCTCTTTATGGAAAATCAGGAGGGAAATGCTAGTCAGAGGTTACCTTCTTGATGGTTTCCAGCATGGACCGCCCGCCCTGCCAGGGTTTGGAATTCTTCCTGATACATGACAGACTCGCCATGCTGTGCCACTTCCGGTCCTCCAGCTTCTTATGGAACGCATTAGCAAGCAGAAGCACCGTGTCATATATGTAAAGGTTCGAAATCTGCAAAGACATGACACAGTAATCATTAGAATCACCGATGCCAACCATCAAGAATATGGAGATCACCAGCTCCGCTGCCTCCATTGACGTAGTAGATGGCTGGTTTGCTGGGTTATGTATTGAGCCGAAGGTTTCTTTTTTCATTTCCCTGGCAATTTTGCCACTGAGAATTGTACGCTTACCTGAGTGTATGCTTCAATTGCCTTTTCAGCTTATTTAGGTGTGAAAGAGAAGATTTTAAAAAAGAGAAGTTCCGACAGAGGCAAGGCAGTTAGTGTCAGACCTCGGAAAATCACTGGCCCTTATTTCTTTCTGAGGAGGTAAAGATCTAAGGGCTAAGATTGGGAGGGCACACTGAATAATACATTTTCTGAATATGTCAAGTTTTTGCATTCTGGTTATTCAGATTGAGAAATATCATTTCGATCTTACATATCAGATGAGTGTAAGTGTCATAGGTATAAAAAAAAAGAAAAGAAAATAGCCATCTGTGTGAACATTTGTGTCTGTTGGGATTCAGTAGTAATAAAAAAAAAATGAGAGAAAGTAGCACCATTTATAAACATTACATTAACCAAGAATCTATACAAAATTATAGATGTGTACACGTGCATTGCAACTCATTATCATGACATACCTTGAACTACTGACTTTGTGAATTCATGTTTACATTAAAGCTTTCTTTTTCTAAAGTAATCATATTATTATCTTCCTCCTATGTAGATTGAAACAGGAATTATAGAAATGCTTGGTAAAAGCCATTGCATTATTACAGTTAACTCTTGCCAGAATTGCTATCCATACTATTACTAGTAACTACTGAAGGTGTTTATTTTTCAAATAAATTAGAAAATATTTACAAAACATAACAACAAGAGATATCTAGTGTTGATGTAAGTTTTTAAATGTGACATTATTACCTGTATGAAAGAAAAATAAAAAAAAAATTAAAAGTGACAAATCAGCCTGGCCAGCATGGCTCAGTGGCTGAGAGTCCACCTTTGAACCAGGAGGTCAGGTTCGGTTTCCAGTCAGGGTCCATACCCTGATGGGGGCTTGATCTCCAGAGTGCGGCATGCAGGAGGCAGCCAATCAATGGTTCTCTCATCATTGATGTTTCTGTTTCTCTTTCCCTCTCCTTCCCTCTCTGAAATCAATTTAAAAATATATATTTTAAATGAGGAATTAACGTAACTATGAAAATCAAATCCATCTTAGAGCATTTTAAATATTTCCAGAAATTTTAGTGTCTTATCTCTTTTTCCCCCCTGAAAACAAAAGGGACGGCCTATTCACTGCCCTTTGCTTATAATTAATCATGAAAGAATCTTATAAAATTGCCTTCCCCCATCACAGAATAGTATTAAGTTTATCTATTAAGATAATGAGAGTTTGATACTATTGAGCAACTGTTAATAAACATTTCCTAACAGGGCCTGTGAGTTTTCCATTATTAATTGGTAAATCTTTAATCATTTGTGTTTTTAAGCATTATTTCACATGCATAAAACTTATGGGAGGTCGTTCTTTTTTTAAAGAGACATTGGATATTCTCACGAACTATGTGAAATACTGGTTTGTTCTTTGTAAGGACATATGAGAGAAGGCTATTCTCCAACCATGTCCTGACCCTGCCTCTCATGTCCCTCCCCTGCCAGATAATCACTAGAGAGCCTGGGGCAGGGGGTGGGGGAGGGTGAGAGAGGTTTGCCCCAAATATGGTACAATAAATGAAGAGTGAGATTTGGAGTTAAAAGTGCCTAATGAATCAAAATTTAGTCTGACTTAGACAGTGAAGACCCAAAAGGAGAACCTAGAAGAAAGATGAAGATTGACTAGGCTGTATCCAAAAATCAGGACAAACTTTTGATGATCTCTCAATTATCTGCAATAACCTGACCTTTTCTAACCTCTCCCAGATCCAGGTCTCAAATTTGCATTCTCTCTCTCTCTCTCTCTCTCTCTCTCTCTCTCTCTCTCTCTCTCTCTCTCTCTCTCTCTCTCTCTCTCTCTCTCGTTTTATTTTGCTTCTCTCTCTGACTGACTGTTTTAAGTGCTTGTATGAGAAGGATGTGGAAGCATTCTTTGATGTCTATTTATCTTTCTCTAATTACTTAATTCTCTGATACTCAATTCCTAAGTACCAAACTAGGTGAATCCTACCCTAACAGCTCTCAGCACCCTCCCCATGTTAGGGCTCATTGAGAAGTATTTTTATCTCCTGTAACAACACTCAGTGCATACTTCTAATGAAAAATAAAACATATCATGCTAAGATTCTTTTAAAATCTGCCTTTCACACTAGATATGAGTTTCTTCTGGCTGGGGGCTCATGTTGTACACATTTCCCCCTTTGTAATTTTGTTTCCTTTATTTTTTACTTCCCCTTGAGTTAGCCTAGAGCTTAGCACATGCAGCGATGTTTTTTTGATAAATACGTATTAAAAATAATGGGGGAAAAGAATATCAAGTCTAACAGCAGGTAGGTTTGACAGAAGTCAAGCAGTGAGAAACTTGACAACATGGATTCCAACCATACCTGACATGTCTGTGGCACAGTCTCTTTGCACATCTTGAGGCATGTACTTGGAGCATCCATGCTAGTTTGAAAGGTGAGTGCATTATACTCAATATGTGACAGATGACATAATCAAATGACTGCCTCTTCTCATTTGCCCACTTTCCAAACTCCAGGATCCAAAGGGGATGTTGGCATTCTCAGAGTATTAAATTCCTTTTTTTTTTTTTTGTAAGTGCCTGTTCTCCTTTGAAGTTTGTGCTCTTTCCCATGCCACACTTTATTAGCCCCTTTCTGCCATCATCTGCTGACCTTTGACTCCTCCTTCACAATGATCCCAAACTATCCTCTTGCATTATAAAGATCATTTTGATTTCCACAACCATGGTCTTTACTTCCATTCTGGCTACAACCAATATAAGTAACTATTCACTAGACACAAACACACACCACCTCTAATATCTTAAACACAGGCATCCCACCATCTGACCAATCATTTCTCTCCACCTTCCTGTCACTACACTTGTTTTCTGACTTCACTGAATCACCATCACCCACCTCCTCCACATAACCATCCAATATTTCACACCATCTATTACTTGCTCTGACACACTTTCTTTACTTAAGGTGTTTATCATCTAGTATAATTTCTATGCTGTTAATCATCTCAGCTCTCTTCTCTGTCTTCCTTTTATGTTTCAATGTTTCTGATCAAAGTCTGACACTCAGAACTGACATATTATTGCAGATATGATCTATCTAGGAGATAGATACGGCCTATCTCTTTTGGTCTTAGCAAAATGCTTCTGACATAGAGACCAAGATTCCATTAGAAAGGTTTAGAGGACATATGCTCTGTGCTATGCTCATACCAAATCTAACTTCATCTCTACAGTCTTAAACAGCTGTCAAACTAGGTCCCGTTCATCTATACATCCTGTAATTTATTTTTAACCTATACTTTATCTCTGTGAAATTTCAAATTATTCAGTAAATATTAACACCTTGGGTCTTGAATATATTAATATAACACAATATAAATTTTCTCCACTAGCTTTATGTGTTTTAAAAAATTTGATAGGCATTTTTTTTTCATTTTTCTTCTTGTATTTATAAACATTTTAAAATATTCGACCCAAGAATAAAATTTTCTGGGTGACCATAGAATAGATCCTTGTAGGATATTTATCAGTATGGTTTGAGTATTCCTCTAGTTGCACACTTTACAAACTGAGGGTAACAAAAGACCTGGTGGTAAATTGTGGATATAAGGAAATATTCAAAACTAAGGAACATTCTTAGCCATGTCTGAGGTATATCAATTTTGTTTACAGATTTGCAGGGTTGGTGGTGGTGGTGGGGGAGATAACTAAAAAAATTTAGCTGGTAAATTATCTAAAATAAACTCATGTGTTATAACTTTTAAAGAGAATAATGAGACTTTAACATATTTTGAACTTTAAAAAAAACATCTGAGACCAGAATGTTCACTATCTTCTGTTCTTAGGAGACCTTTGGTCAAATGTTTGACTGACATCAATCTACCTAGACTTTTTAATGTCTTTGCAAAAGGATTTCATAAGAAATTTGTCAAACCCTATGTAAAAATCAATACACAATAGTATATTTATGACATTATAACCTAAAAATTCATCTAAGACTTACTTTGGCAGCATTTGCTATTTAGAAAGTCCTATTGTCTTATTTAAAATTCCCTAAACAATATGTATAATACTATATCCTAAAGTTCATATAGATATTAATTTTAGTATATTAAACTCTGATTATCAAAATCTTTTTGCTTTACTTTATAAATTAGGACATTCACCAAAGTTTTCTTATATTAGAATTCTCTTCACAAGTATTTCTCTAGTACTTCTAAATTACAATGTGTGATCATATCCACTTGCTTAGCCTATATAATAAAGGGTTAATATGCAAATTGATCATCACTCCAACACACAAGATGGCCACCCCCAAGAGGACACAAGAAGGCCTGCAGCGGAGGGCAGCTGTGGTTGAACAGGACATCAGGGGAAGGAAGTTGGGGGGAATCAGACCTGCAGGGGAGTGCAGTTGGAGGAACCAGGCCAGCAGAGTAGGGCAGTTAGGGGTGACCAGGTCAGCAGGAGAGGGCAGTTAGGGGCAACGAACTGGCAGGGGAGCAGTTAGACATGGATCAGGCTGGCAGGGGAGTGGTTAGGGGGTGATCAGGCTGGCAGGCAGAAGCGGTTAGGGGCAATCAGGAAGGCAGGCAGTCAAATGGTTGGAAGCCAGGAGTCCTGGATTGGGAGAGGGATGTCCGACTGCACTTGGATATTCCTGGAAGGGTCCCAGATTGGAGAGGGTGCAGGCTGGGCTGAGGAACACACAGATTTCATGCACTGGGCCTCTAGTTTATTATTAAGAGCAATTATTTTTCAAGATTATTTATTTTTTAAGATTCCTTTATTTATTTATTTTTGTTTTGTTAATCCTCACTACAAGATATTGATTTTTAGAGACAGTGGAAAGAGGGGGAGAGCCAGAGAGCTGATAGAGACACATTGATTGGTTGCACACACCCCAGCTAGGGTCAGGGCCCGGGATTGAGTTTGAACTGAGTATATGCCCTTGACCAGAACTGAACCTGGAATCCTTCAGTCCACAGACTGATCAATGCTCTAGCCACTGAGCCAAATGGGCTAGGGATCATTTTAGAACAATAAGACACACTCTTACAATCTCCAAACTCCTGTTTATTTTTAAAACAATGGTTAATTTTTAAAATGACTTTTATTTAAATCTTTGTAATTTGAAGACAATTTTTTTAGATGGAAAAAACAGAGGCAAAAAGATTTAAATGTTTCTGTTTTCTCTCCATTATCAGTAAAGCTAACATTAGTTTCACCAAGCAATAAGCTCGCTCCCTATTTGCTAAAAACTGTTTCTAGCTAAAATATTCACTTAATACAAGAGGCCCGGTACATGAAAATTTATGTACTGGAGGTGGGGTCCCTCATCCTGACCTGCCTCCTCTCACAGTCCAGGAGCCCTCAGAGGCGGGAGGTGACCCAGCAATCAGGGGAAGGTGACACCCCATTACACCTTTGCTGCTGCCACTGCCAGCAGCACAAGCCTTGGCTGCCCTGTTCACATGAGCCTTGGGCATCCCTGGGCGGCTGGGTGGCTAAGGGGACTGGGGACTCTGGAGGCAGGCACATGGTATGGCTGGGCCCACCTGGTTTTGGTGCATGCCTGCTACTCCAGTGGGGCTGAGGGAACTGGGCACTGCCATCTTGTGGCTGTGGACGCTGTAATCTTTGACTGTGTGGCAGTCAATTAGCATATTTCCTCCTTATTGGATATGGGCACCACCATCTTTGCGATGGTGCGAGGATCAATTAGCATATTCTCTCTTTATTAGATAGGGTTTATTTTGCAACTTCAGCTAACCCTTGAATTTATTCTTCCTGGCATTGATTTAAAAAATTTGGAAACTTGTTGTTTTTTTCTTTCTAAATCTTACTTCTCTTTCTGTGCATATTAAAATATATAATAGCTCAGAGACCTGTACACAGTCTCATTGTACCCTCTTCTCCTTTGTTGTGTTGATTGTGATTTTTATGGTAGATTTTTATTTTTAGAGCTCACTTGAGTCATATTTTCAAATCTTTATTTTTTGAGTTATTTTTAGTTATACCTTGCTAAATACAAATGTCTTTGATCATATTGACCTGAATTGTGTTTTTTTTAATACATTTTTTTTTTATTGATTTCAGAGAGGAAGAGAGAGAGAGAAACATCAATGATGAAAGGATATTATTGACCAGCTGCCTCCCACATGCCCCCTACTGTGGATTGAGCTTGCAACCTAGGCATATGGCCCTGGCTGGAATCCAACCTGGGACTGCCCCTCCCCCCCCACCCCTCCATCTCTGTCCATAGGCAAATGCTCTCTCCACTGAGCCAAACCAGCCAGGGCTACCTGAATTGTTTTTATTGATGAACTTCAAGACAAGAGTGTCACTTCTCCTAACCACCTACTCCTAAATTCTCGGTATTTTTCTTGTTGCTTTGTTTAACATTAGTGAGATAATAGCTTCACCGAGGCAAGCCTCTATACCAAATGCTCTGCTTTTAGTGGAACATTTTAAATTCAGGAGTCTTGCATTTTAGACTCAATTATATAAATCTTCACTTATCAAAGTGTCTGTCAGTTTTCCTTTTATATATTAATTGTTTGGTTAAATTCTATTATTACATAATAGGGAAGTTACTATGTAACAAACCCTTAAAAAAAAAAAAAAGTAATTGTCTTGGCTTCTTCCCACCTGTGTGTTTGAGGGAAGTAAGGAGAAGGTGTGGGATAGAGGGGTGGTGCTTCATCTACATCCTTAATTCACCAGGTAAGTCAGGGAATATAAAGCTAAGTAAAATATCTGTTTCTTCGATTTCAAGAAATTAATTTATTGAATATGAAGGGTTACTCTGTTGGATTGATGTGCTTTAAAATCTGTGTAGCTACTTCCTGCTTTAACCATTTGTATTCTTTCTGATACTTCTCTTTACAGAAAACAGTATTAAATATTTCAAGATTTTCTGAATGAAAATTCTTTCATGTTTTTCTACGATTGAAATTCTATCATTTCCGCATCAATTATACTCACGACCAATTCATATGGAAAGCTGGGTCATTATAAGAACTCAATAAGACGGGCATTAAAATGTAAACAGGTGTTGTTTATACTTCAGAGTGACTTGTTTGACCACTGCCTTCTTCTTAATTACTACGTTGAAATCCACAAATATTCACAGAGGTGCAAAGCACTGGGGCAGGTATGATGGGAGAAGAAAAGACAGGCTAGTAATTCATGGGGTTTTATGATATCATGTGCTAGAGGGAACCCATTCTAAAAGAGCTTAAAATCGAGTAGGAAACAACGTTCTATGGGCAATGATCCCTAATGGGCTGCCCAGTATTTCACGCAGCTCACTGCAATGGTAGTAAGTATGAAAAAATAGTTTGAGTATGTAATAATTCATTTAAAAAATCCAAACATAACTAAAGATAGTGTTTATTAAAGTGGATTTATCATTCAAAGGAAGAGGTAGTTTGCAAAATTCCCTTTTTTATCTAGTATTATTTGGGATGAACTAGTTCTAATAGGGTGATATTTCCAAAATGTTCAAACTGATCGTCTCTAAGTACTAAAATATTTTGATATGAACATTTTGAAGGAATCACTTTCTGAAATATATATTTTTCTGACTTCTGAAATTGACCATGACTTTAATCTTTGTTGCTATCTCAGGGCTACTGTTTAAATACTAATATGCTGGCAGTACACTACAGTGATACCCTTAGGAACTGTTTTATGACACAGAAATTTTTTTTTTTTTTTTTTACAAAAGTCCTTCACTGATAAAATATTTGAATTAGATTTCTGATTGATTTCTTTTTTCCTGCCTCTTGCTTTGCTAGATAGTGAACCTTATAGCTCTCTACTGCTATCCTCACACCTGCCTTTTGTAATCCCCTTTCAAATTGACATATTGAAATCCTTGTGCAAAGAGAAATAAAACAAAAATGTCTGATGGGATTTCCCTTAAGAGAAAGAAATAGGCTCTGTGTGAATACTTAAAGGCATTTTTATGAGTCAGCTTCAGGGACTTGGTTCAGCTGCGCAGAAATTTTATTTTCAATTCTTTGTTGTACTGCAAATAGCGAAGATCACAGCTATATCCTATCTGAGTTACATATGATTATACAACGCTATAGCATTGCTTGCATTTATAAATAAAATTTTTGTGAACTACTTCAAACTGAACACTAATCTTTAAAAAGAAAGCTTATGTCCTTATTATGTCAAAAATCCAATAAAATTTATTAGATCAATAATTTAGAGTTTGGCATTAAGTAGTATCAATTTTAAATTCTACCATGAGAAGTGCTATGGATCTACTTACTTGCTGAGAAGAAAACAACCTTTACTTATTATATTATTATGAAACAAGTAGATATGTTGCTAAAATGAAGTTAAAAAAATAAAAAGAAACAACAGCACAGATTCTTTGTGCTTCCTAAGATGCTTTGGCTTAATAAGTTGCTGGGGAAGGGGAATAGTTCAGAAGTTGCAAACACGTACAATTCTAAATCCAATACAACTTCACAGCAAAACACCATAGGAAGAAACACTCCAACACTTAGAATATACCTCCATATTCTGCGCAAATGGGTCCTTTGGATCACACAACGTTGAAGATATTCGATGGTTGCCACGGAAACATCGCTGACTTATGTTCTGGGGGACTGGGAATGTCTGCCGAATGATAGTTAGCCTTCCAATTGACCTTCTTACAAGTTCCTGTACATCCATGTCATTTATTTCCTATAAGATAAGAAATGGAAGAATTAGAAATGCCTAATAAAGTAACAGCAACACAAAATCTATTAACAAGCTGTTATCTGGAAATGCTAAGGGTTACTGTAATGCATTTACTTAATGCTTAGCCCTCAGACAGATGAAAACAACATATGTTCATGAAAATGATCAACTCATTTGTATTTGCTGTCTGTGCTTACATTATGTCCATTAATGCTTAAATAATTCCAAACGGGAGCAACTGACTTAAATATAGGGTGCCCTCTCAAAAGTGTATACCGTATACACACTTTGAATAATCATAAAGATAGTGTTTATTAAAGTGTATTTCATCTTCAAAAGTGGGCTATAAGCTGTTAAAGTATGTATACATTTTTGAAACACCTTGTATACTTTATTAGTAGCAAGTTTATAATTTGTTACATTGAATACTATAAAAATTTGATTACACATAAAAAAGTCACAAAATAAGTTGCTATTATAATTCATTATTCATTAATGTATTTCATGGTGCTTTGAGGACCTAGGAAGATAGTTGCATTGAAAGAGTAACATGTATTGTTCTTAGCAATTAAATTAAAAAACTGGGCTCTTTAATAAGGCAAGAAGAGTGAGCAAGAGAAGATATTATTTTTAAATAATTTTTCCAAATTATCCATGTTAACCTATAGATTTTTCTTAGTTAAAAATAAACAAAGTGCTCACTAAATGTTGAATAAGTTAGTATGTTAATTGTGGTATTAACATGCAGATGAAAAACCCTTTTGATTAATACAGAGTGAACCAGGGTGAGTGAATGAAGAAGTACAGTTCTTATTATCCAAATTAATGTTATTTTGTATATGACTGTTTGCCAAACTGAAAGAAATGTGTTTTATACCTTCCCCTGCCTCCCAACTCCAGATTAAATTTTAGGATTTAACTCAGTCATCGATGTAGGAGCAATAAAAATGAAATATTTTTATAACATACACATGTTCAAGTTGGAATTAGAATAAAAGTAATCAAAATAAGTTTAGTTTTAAGGTGGTCTTTACTAAAGCAGTTTGTACTCCCTAATGTCCACTGGAGCCTCTTAAATCAATGAACCCTTTGCAATGAACTTAGTCATTTCAGTAGATTCTAATCACAACAGGAATAAAAGATTTGACATAAACTTTAGAATGCAGTGAGCATTCATTAGTTTCTTCTGCTTTGTAACATATATTAGCTTATTCATCCTTTATTTATGATCTTTATGTGACATAGATTTTCTGAAAATAAAATAACACCTGCCATCAGCTGTATCGAGTATAAAGTCCTGGATTTTTGGCTGATCACCTCTAATTGTACTATTTAAAAAATGGTTTTATTAGTTTAAAATGCCATCTTTTCTCTTTAGTCTGTGCCACCAAAAAACTCTGTCTGGCAAAAAGCAAGTCACTATTTAATTTTCTGCCACCTTCTCCCAAAGAAGAATTATACAGTATCTTTCAACATCATTCTTAGCCTTAACCTTAACAAGAAATCTTTTAAAATGAATTAATATTGCTATGCAGTGTCTTCACGTTTTAAAAATTAAAATTCCATATTGTGCAGACATTTTTATTTAAAAGGCAGTGAAAAAAATGTACCACTTTTTCATAATATTAACTCTATTGTGGTGTGTGTTTTTCTTTAACAATACTAAATGTTATCAACGTTTTATCAAACAGTGTCATCCCTACCTGGCTCTAGCCATGTTGACCTACAAATCAGCTCATCAGAATAAAAACTTACACTGATAAGTGCCTACTATGTTGCGCAAAACACTAAGATAATATGTTATCTTGTTTTCTGCTAAAAACAACAAGGATTCAGGTACTGTTAGTCTCACTTGTAAATAAAGACCTGGAAATATTCCAAGTTCTTCTTCCAAAATACTCTGTATTTACAGTATCAATATAATAAAAGCCTAAGTGACCATATGGCAGAAAGACCAGAACAACCAGTTGCTATGATGCGCACTGAGCAGCAGGGGGCAGATCCTGGTAGGAGTCTCTCCAACCTCCGAGGCAGCGCTAAGGAGCAGCAAGCCAGTAGTGGTAAGGAGCGAGGGGTCCCAGACTGTGAGAGAGCACAGGCTGGGGTGAGGGAAGTCCCCCTCCATAGTGCATAAGTTTCATGCACCAGGCCTCTAGTTAATAGTGTCATGAAATGAGACACTCTACAAGTTGATTAATTAAACAAGAAGTTCATATTTCCTTACAAAAATTATTTGGATCAATATTCATGAATGGTGGGATTTAAAACTATAAAGATATATTATTTCAGCATGGAATAGCTTAATGATCTATAAAGGAATGATAAAGTTACTTCTCATGAATCAAAGTCTTTAAGAAGACTGTTTCAAACCCACAGAAAGGGATGACTACCTTTCATAGGTTCCAAAAACTGAAGTTCTTACATGTCAGAGCAACTAGAGTATATCTGAGGAAATACCAATTTGAATATATTTTGCCTATTATTATTGAGAAAGAAAAAAGAAAGTAATTTTCTTGGAGGAAAGAATCTGCCATTCTGAATGGAACTAACAGACAGTCTGTCTCAAAGAATTCACTTGCAATTTTAGTTTTGACACATGATTTCAAAAATAGTTTGGCATTGATATAAAACTTGATTAGGCAGCTATTTTATACTTAGAGAACTTCATTTCTGCATCCCAAAAGATACATTTCAGGAATGGTAGCTATATGGACACGGAAAGCCCGGTGAATAATGAATCTATGAAGAGATACTTTTACATGAAAAAATCCGTAAGTAAACTTCTTTATTGAAATAGTAAGCTATTATACAACCTATTAGAATTAATATTATTCTAATGCTCTCTTTTTTTAAATTAAACTATTTGATTTTTCTAAACAGTCATGTGAAGAACTAATTCACCACTCCTTTTCCTAAGCCCCCAGTGCCACCAAACATGTACATGTCTATAAAATATACAGACATTTCCCAAGTTTTGAAGCATCTTAAGAAGCTGATTATAAAAATATTTATCTTTTACATATCATTTATATGAATGAGTGTTTATTAAAAAGGAATTTATATTATGATAAAAAATTGACAAATATGTTTAGTGTACCTAATTTTTTTTCTACTTTACTACTCTAGGAGCAAGGCAAACAGTGTTTTCCTCTCCCCACCCCCCAAAAAATTTACATGGATATTCAAAATTATTAAGAATCAAATCAAAATACCCCCAATAAAATATTCTTGTTCGCTTTGCTATGATAGTTTAATGTGGGGTGAACCCTGAACTGTGTGAGAGTGAAAGAAGAGGAAAGCTACAATATCTGGTAGGAATAAAACTCCATCCAGAAACAGACACTTTCAAGAACAAGTCTTTTAGGAAAATTGGATTAGTCCTGGATCTTTGTAGGTATCAGTTTTAGGCTCAAATTAATAAATTCCAGGGAAGGAAAGACTCTCAAAATCCAATAGATGGGATGCCAACATACACACACACACACACACACACACACACACACACACACACACACACACACACACACATACACACACATACTATTTCAGAGAAGGGATCCCTCCCTCCTTTCTCATGCTTCTACCTTTTTTCATCTAACAAGGTTCCTGGATTGCTCAGAAAAGCTATTAAGAGAATAATGAATGAATAAATCAATGGCAAGTTTTCACCAAACTGTCTTCTAAAGATAGATACCTGAAATTTTAAGTCTAGACACTGGAATGCTTTAATAACATTAACAATTCTGAATAAAGCAGATGTTAATAATGATATTGTCAGTGCACTACTGTGTAGTTATAGTTGGAAAAGATTATGCTTTCTGTTGTTGTTTTTGCTAATATGTTTATATTCTTCATGCTTTAGCAAAGATGATCCTTTGATGCTTCCATAAAATTTAACATTAGTGTGAAATAATTATACCAACATTATGTGGAAGCATGGGATAAAACCAGCTGTGGGCTGTGTACCAGCAGGAAGAGGAACAGAATGGCAACTCTCTGCTTGACAGATTAGTAGTGAGCAGTTCAATTAATCACTAAACTAAAAAAATTGAAAAACATCCATTATATATACAAACTTTTAAAATCTCAATGACTTCTTAACTGAAGAATTCAGCAGTGCTTAACAGAGAATAATGACTTAAACTATTTATTTTTTTAACTTTATTTTTGTTGTTGATACTATCACAGATGTCCCCATTACCCACCCCCCACCTCCCAATCCTTTGCTCTCCTCCACCAGCTCCCTTCTCCCCCTTCTCTCTGGTCATCACCACACTTGTTGACTGTGACAATGGATTATGCATATATGTTCTTGGGCTAATTCTTTCACCTTCTTTCATCTAGTCCTCTCACCCCCTCAGATAGCTGTCAGTCTGTTCATTGTATCCATGCCTCTGCTTCTATTTTGTCCATCAGCTTATTTTGTTCATTCCATTCCATAAGTAAGTGAGTTCATATATTTATCTTTCCCTGACTGCTTTATTTCCCTTAGCATAATAATCTCCAGGTCCATCCATGCTGTCACAAAGATTTCTTTCTTTTTTCATGGCCTTAAACTAAGTCCATGGATTTAAATAAGAGGTTGTGGCACCAAAGATCTGGTTCAGTATTAGCAGGAATAGAAGGTGCATACAGCATTATGCTTCCTGCAGCTCTAAAATGTGTATATCTTCCTGTCAGAATTTCTAACTTCTGTGAAATTTAAATAAAATGCTAGGGCATCTGCTTCAGGACCTTGAAGAAATGACAATGCTTATGTGGAAAGGCTGCTCTGAGCTGGATCCACTGATTGTAGGAAGAAGATAAATACCATTATCAACTACTAACACATGATGGATTACACCATATGAATGAGCACAGCCTCTCATTATTACAGCTCATGTAATGCAAATGAAAAAAATATATTTTGTTTTCAACTTTCTACCTCAATTTGTATCATGATGTACAATGCCAACTTTGATTTATAGTCTCTCTCTAAAAAAGTATTGATGCAATAAGATTATATAAATGTTTGCAACCCATTTTAAAATTAGCAATAAAATAGTAGTTAAACAAACCAAACTAGGCAGATTGGTGTTTTCCATGTTCAATCAAAGTGGGCATTTGCATGTTGTTTATTGCTAACTTTATTGTTGTTATTTTTAGAGTTTATTTGCTCCCTAAAAATATTTGAGAAATTCATATTTCTTCTTTTATGGACACTAGGTTAAGTTATGACTCATCCATTATAAATTTGTACACAACAGGCTGAAAATGAAGTAAAAATAGTGAGAGTCAAGTTTTCTGAGACATGTTTCAAAGAGAATGAGGTGACTGAATAAAGTCATATGGGAGCAAACTTACTGACTACAGATATACTGATGATGGGGGTAGTGGTGGTAAAAACACAAAAACAATATGCTTGATCTCTAAGTTTTAACCTAAAAAAGTAAAAAACAGTAATCAGTATATCCAGTGTGGGCTGTGAACCTGTCCAAAAGAAATGACACCTCTACTCAAGGACTAGCAAAGAGGGCTGTGGGAGAGAGAGAGATTAAGAGATTCAATAATAGTAAAGGAATATATCGCTTCTCGGCCTTTTGGCTAAGATCAAGTGTAGTATAAATAATTTCGACAGTAGAAAACACCAGTGTAAAGGAGCAAAATATAATCGAGTTATTCTATATTTCTAACATTTATTGAGCTATTTGCTGGTTAGATTGCTTTGTTTGTCTGTATATTTCTAAAATGATGGCTCCAACTATTAAACTCCCCTTAAAGATAGCATTTGCCCCCCTAGGAATTTAGGTAATAAGATTTAATATCTTCAACAAGATGGGCATAATGTTTATGAGAGATATATAGCAATATCACTGTTATTATTCTTTCCGTGATATTCACCTAAGTAGTAGGTAGATGACCGCTTGTGTTCTGGGGAGCTTTACATGGTTCACACTTTTAAGATTCAGGTGTAATTTCATCAGTTCCATTGGATATGGAAAAATAATTAATTCAAGGGTTACTTCTTTGATCTAATCAAAGAATAAAAGATAATAGTATTTCCATTTAGTGATTATAAGTATTAACTAATTTTATTAATCAGTGGCAATAGGGAAGCAATACATCACTTTTTCTTCCTAGCCAGCTTTATTGACACAAACAAATAAAATGACTCTGATGTGTTTCACATTGAGAAATCTGTGTGATCAATTCCACATCAGAAGGTGGATGTGAGAAAAACAAAGCAAAACAATGAATTAGGAGGACGCTCTATTTTAAAAAATAGTAATTTAGGAAATAATTAAATTAAGAAAAAATAATAGACTAAATGGCTTCCATAAGATTAAAGTTAAGGTAGCAGACATTTCAAATATATAATCTGTAAGGAAACTTATTTTTATAAAAGGAAAAGAAAACAAATCAAAAGCAACCAAAGCTTTAGACTGAAAAATGCTGTTTTAAATCCCATTATTACTACTTAATAGTTGTATTTGGCAAACTTTTCTATTAATAGTAATATTTGGCAAACTTTTCTATTTCTTTGAACTTTGCAGAAAAGTAAAAGTGAAATACCTAATATGAAAAATTATCCTGCAAGTTTGCTAAGCTTCCCTTTCTCTTCTCTCTATATTGATATTTAGTTACTAGAGGCCCAGTGCGTGACATTTGTACACTGGAGGCAAGGGGATCCCTCAGCCCGGCCTGTGCTTTCTTGCAGTCCAGGAGCCTTTGGGGGATGTCCAACCTGCCAGTTGGACATCCCCCAAGGGGTCCTTATTACTGCCTTGGAGGTGGGCAAGGCTCCCACCACCACCACTGTGCTCCCAACCATGAGCCCCTTCTTCTGACTGAACAGCATTCCCCCTGTGAGAGCACACTGACCACCAGGGGGCAGCATTGAGCATCTGCCCCCTGGTGGTCAGGGCACATCTTAGCTACTGGTCATTCTGCTGTACAGTCAATTTGCATATTAGGATTTTATTATATAGGATTCCAGATGAAAATTAAGAGGCATTAGAAAATTTGAAGATATCAAAACTTCATTGAAAAGCATATCTTACACATACACATTGCCTGTGAAATTTCAGAAAAATAGGAAACAGATCTTGATTTAAAATTTAAAATGTAAGTCATAACATTTGGCCAACACAAACAGACTTGTAAAATGTTTAGTTTTGTGTGTGTGTGTGTGTTTTTTTCCACTGAGCTAAAAAGAACGAGTCCATCAATGAAGTGTGGTATTGTAAAAACAATTTGAAATGTTTTTCTACAGAAAAAGAAAAAAAAAAAGGCAAATCATTTATTCTCTATGAACCTCATTCCCTCAGTACTTTGTAAAGTAATGTATAAAACTAATAAAATAATGTGTAAGAATGTGCTCTTTAAACTTAAATGTGCCATGATCATTATTGCAGGACCACTTAAGATTACTAGATAAATATCTCACTTAATTTTTTTATGAACTAGAAAAGTAAATGTTATTATAGTTACTGTACAAGTGAAACATTAGAGGAACAGGATGCTTTATAGTATATATATCCAAAATAACATAGCTAACCAATTTTAGAGCTAGGATTGATCTGATCTTGCTGACTGCAAACCAGAAGTCTTACGCAAAATGCTAATTTTTTCCTGCAACAAAATTTATTATTCTATAAATCAATATGTAGTATCTAGTGATACACCAAGATACATTACTTTTATCCATAAGTAATATAACTTATTAAATGCTAGGTTTTATTGAGGCCGAATCCACATTATATCATTATTTGTCCATAACTCATCTGCTCATTGTCCTTTTCGGAATCTGACAGGCAGGTGCTAATGGAAACATATTTCACAAGGCTCTCATATTGTAATGCATTTTTCATCTTATGTATTATTGTTACAAAGGTAAGAAAATAAAATAAAAAAATAAAAACTTCACAAGGAATTTGACAAGTTGGTGGATTTTATGTGATATTCCTTTATAAAAAGAAAAAATCTGTTCTTGTTTATTCCTATTAATATGCTGAACTACTTAAGGGGAGTGGATATAAAAATTATAGAAACAATATTAAAATATAAATGGAACACAAACACTCCACTGGGAGGAATTCGCTTACAAAGAGGAACTGTACTTTTTGAAAAGATGAACTCCCGAAGCAAGCACTGTGTTCCAGCGGAAAGGACTAAAAGATACTCAGTGGGGAAGACATTCTCTGTTTATTTTATTCATACAAAGCCCTTCATAATTTAAAAAAAACACTCCTCATCCTATTTTTATTTAACAGAATTCACTTAATAAGATGAACATTTACTTTGTGTTCATTTACACTTAGACATTCAAGGCCAGAGGAAATGCTGTGATTATACATATAAAAACAGGACACAGAGTTGACAATAAGATTTAGTTGGTTTTACCTCATTTATAATGATCCAGTGACAGTCAAAAGCAACCAAATTAGTCTCCACAACCTAGAACAGAAAACAAACCAGCTATCAGTCAGTATTAATCATGGAAAATAAACCAAACCAAATGGATATACTTTGAAAAAAATAAAATAAAAAACAAGCAAATATATAAACCACATATTAGAAAGGTCATTATTCAATTGATGATGGGAAAGTGTTAGCAAAGAACTTTGGATTCAAACATTGGTGTTTGATGTGTAGAGGCATTATAGACTTGCTAATTAAATTTGAAAATATAGTTCATCAAAAGCCTAGACATAGGTTTCAACTAAAAAATAATATGATACTGTATAGTGAGTTAAGTGTATAGTGATTTAACTGTATAGAGAGTAGAGTTTGAATTGCATTTCCTATTCCAAATAAACATTGATGGCTTTCTATAATCCACCTAATAAATATCTAAGAAATATCCCTCTACAATCTGACTTAACATTCTTATCTTCTAACACTTCCCTGTGTATATGCGTACTCTTGTCTTGATAAAGTAAATTGATCTATGTTCTAAAAAGCTTTGTGTATGTATTCTAAAGAGATACATTTGCTAAAGTATCTGAATGTAAAAGCTAAAAGCAATAAACATTATATTAGCATTACGTTTTAGGTAGGTAATTTCAGTGGCTTTCAAATTGCTAATTATGTGAATAAAAATGAAACACATGTAAAAGAAAAAGCAAACAATATATAGGTAACAATATTGGCTGACTAACTTTGGATAAATCAATTCTAAACAATCCTTGGCTTTGGCTAATACAGCGTGTGTGTTTGTGTGTGTGTGTGTGTGTATGTGTGTGTGTGTGTGTGGTAAAGGTAGCTTTTGTATGGGAGTTTCCATTCTATCTAATCTTATCTTACACATCTAAGACATGTTATTATGATTTAAATTAAAAGGCATATCCTGCTGAAACCAGTTTGGCTCAATGGATAAAGCGTTAGCCTGAGAAGTGAAGGGTTCCAGGTTCGATTCCGGTCAAGGGCATGTACCTTGGTTGTAGGCACATCCACAGTAGAGGGTATACAGGAGGCAGCTGATTGATGTTTCTCTCTCATCAATGTTTCTGGCTCTCTATCTCTCCCTTCCTCTCTGTAGAAAGTCAATTATATATATATTATAAAGGCATATCCTATTTAATAAAGTGGGAATATGCTAATTGACCCTCATGTCATCACAAAAGATGGCGATGCCCACAGTTAATAAAGAGGAGGTATGCTAATTGACTGCCCACCTTCAAAGATTGCAGCACCCACAGCCAATAAGGAGGGAATATGCTAATTGATTACCTCACCCTCAAGATGGTGGCATCCAGTCCCTTCAACCCCTCAGCTGCCCATAGCCTGCCCAAGGTGCAGGCAAGCCTGGGATGTCAACTGCCCAGCCACTCAGGGCCGGCCCGAGGGAAACCAAATGACTGAACAAGTAGTTCTTTGTGGGCAACCAGGCCAGCAGGAGGGTTAGTAAGAGATGACCAAATGACTGAACAGAAGGCTGAGTGGGACAACAAGGCTGGCAGGGGGGGTTAGTGAGGGACAAACAAATGACTGAGCAGCAGGCTGTGTGGGGTGACCAGACCAGTGGGGAGGCCATGAGGGGCAACCATACTATTAAGGGAGGCTGTTAGAAGTGACCAGGTCAGCAAGCAAGGGAGGGCTCTTGGGGGTGACCAGACCAGAGTGGGGGCAGTTAGGAGTGACCAGGCTGGCCCAGGGGGCAGTGAGGGTGACCAGGCTGGCGGTAGGGGGGCAGTTAGGGGCGACCAGGTTGGCAGGCAGGTGAGCAATTCAGAGCCAGCAGTCCAGGATTGTGATAGGGAGCCTGGATTGGAGAAGGTGCCAGCTGGGCTGAGAGGGAACCCCACCCACCCCCTGTGCACAAATAGGTATATAATGAGTAAGTGTATTTTTAAGAGATTATTCCATTATTTTCAGCAATAATCCCCAAAGATTGGGTTTTAGATAAAGATGCTTTCTAATAAATAGCAAGGAAATGCTAGAAAGTACAAATTGCATTTTGGTGGTCAGTCTTTGTCCTACTGAGATTTGGAAAGATGTGTTCAAGCACAAGAAATGCAATTGCAAATACATTTCTTATGAGATGCAATGTTTTTTCAAAGTACATAATTATTTGCAGAATGTTTTCTATTTGGTATAAATTTGGTATAAATTTTATACCAAAATACAGCATATTGGCCCATATAATATTACTGATATATAAAGGTAATATATTATCATAGAAGTTAGGATATGTTATTATTTGAGTTATATCATTACTATCATTTTTTAAAAAATATATGTATGTTCCACTTATATGTGATAGTTAATATAGAAAGTATGATCCAGGAAAGTTTTTAATTTTAACTAAAAAACATAAAATCACTTCACTCCAGTAATTGCAACCTTAATTCCTAATTTTATGATTATTTTTCTTACACTGTGTCAGTGTCAAATAAATCATCAGTAATTTATTAACAATAAATAATATTAGAAATTTAGTAGGAATTCCATAAAACACTTAGTAAAGGCATACAAACCAAAGACTCAAATATAAGAAAAACAGTTCTCTGCAAGAAATGAAATCAGGTATTGATTTGAGAAAATGACTAAAACATGAAAATAGGGAAAATTCAGAGAGAAGAGTAATGAAAGCCAAGATATAGATTGAATGTATTTCTGAAGCCATATTAATAGTAGAGCGAAGAGATGACTCAATTTAAATTGTTTCCAATTAGATAATCTGTACCAGGTAGCCAGATTAAGCAAAATTCAGGCTACAGGAGCTTTCCATTAACCTGTGAAACTTAGTAAGCAAAAAGCTGTTTTATATCCAATATAACTTATGAAATAAGTAGAAGGTAAAGAGTTACAATGGGAACTTATTGGCAATTTGTCTAGTCCATAAAACTCACTCATTTTTCTCCCTCTCTTGCTGGAAATAAACTTTCAGGCAAGAGCATGAAAAAGTATAATGTCACAGGTTCAATCTTGTGTTTCAATATTTAATCCCAGATTCCACTCTCTGGACCTCTCCCACTTGCTTACTGTGAGCAGTGAAGTCATCTTCTCTCACTTTTGTCTTTGGTTTTACTCCTGAGTATTAACATATGAGACATTTGGCAGTATAAATTTTAAACAAGGAAAATCATTAGCAAATTACTGCATTAAAAATAAAACATTTATCACAATAGTGTGAATTCATGAAGCAGAGAACAATCCCCATTCCCTGATGTGGTATTGCACTAACCCTGAAATAAACCTCAGTTCTGTGGAGACATTATTACCTTCTGGGCCTACCTGTTGGAATAATTTAGCATATCTTATATAATGCAGTTCTTTTTTTTTAAAATTAATCTCAGCTATGCAATTTTTCTAGCCCTAACAAATTTTAATAAAAAAACTCATTAGAGTAGTTTTAAAGTATGTGATTTTATAAAGGCATGATTGCAAAACCATGCAATAGTTGTTGGTTTTTCATACATAGTGAATATGCAGAACTTGTTTTTGCAAGTCCTCTTTTCTTTGGGGAAAGAAAGAAAATTATAGGGAAAATATATAAAAGAATGAATAGTTGAATCTCTCATCCCTTTAATTATATACCCAAAATATACATGTATACAAAACTAAAATCCATGTGTTAGCATGACACCATGTCTTAAAGAATCTTTGAAAATTGTATTGCTATGTTGTACATAGACAGTTAAGGCTCTCATTCATTATCTCAGGAACTGTCCACTAAAAGAGAAATATAACTTCCTTGGGTCTGGGTTAACATCTTCCCACATAACCAACGAGCTGGCATGAGTTCTCTGATTTTTTATAATTGAATGTTTCTAAAAGTGAGCAATGTGAGACAGGTACTAATATAAAAGTAACTGATATATGTTACAAAAGGAGCATTTAGTAAGGGTCATTAAGAAATGATGGGAAGTTCAACAGCCTACACCTTGAAAACCCAGGTTTTGAGTCCCTTCACTTAAATGACTAATATAGATATAGGAGTAGGTATATTCCTATACATATATGTCTTGTCTATATTAGATATATATTGTACAACTGGTTATATTACATAAAATGTACATATATATATATATATATATATATATATATATATATATATATATGTTAGAAGCCAGATGCATGAAGATTTGTGCACGGATGGGCCTTCCTTCCCCTGGCTGCCTGAACTGTCTTTGCTCTGGTGGGAGCTGCCTTTCCGCTCTAGCCCGGAGCTGCCCAGAGACCTGGAGCAATTGGGGTGATACGGAATGCCTGCATTGAGGTGACAACGAAAGCATCCTGCCCTGTCCCCAGCCACTCGGAACCTGTGTATGCAAATTAACTCACCATCTTTGTTGGGTTAATTCGTATACTCACTCCTGATTGGTTGGTGTGCATTGCAAAGGTATGGTCAATTAGCATGTTACTCTTTTATTAGTTAGATGATGTAAAATTATAGTGGAGTTAAAAGATACAAAAGAGTAGTAATGTTTATTATTTTCACATATTAGCAAAGTGAGCTACTATAGTGAGCTTTCTTAGGAGAGAATTATTTACATAAAAAAGAAATTATTTAAAAAAAAAACATATTTTATTGATTTTTTTTACAGAGAGGAAGAGAGAGAGAGAGTTAGAAACATCCATGAGAAACATCGATCAGCTGCCTTTTGCACCCCCCCACCCCACAGGGGATGTGCCCATAACCAATGTACATGCCTTGATCAGAATAGAACCTGAGACCTTTCAGTCCACAGACTGATGCTCCAGCCATTGAGCCAAACCGGTAGCCAGTTTTGGCTCAGTGGAGAGAGCATTGGCCTGCAGACCAAAGGGTGCCAGGTTTGAGTTTGGTCAAAGGCAAGTAACTTTGTTGCAGTCTCCTGCCCAGCCTGGGGCCTGGTTAGGAAGTGTAAAGGAGGCAACCAATTGATGTGTTTCTCTCACATCAATATTTCTCTCTGCCTTTCCCTCTCTCAAAAAAAAAAAAAAAAAAAAAGAAAGAAAGAAAGAAAGAA